GAAACAGAAATGCTGAAAGAATAGAGAACCTAACACCGCTTCCAGCTGCTGTCCAAGAATCTAATCCGACTCCAAAATCCTCTGAAACCCACTCAGGTAAGGAATCTATAGACACTAGTGATTATGAGCTTACCCCGCCTGTGAAAGATGATTTTGATGTTCCTTGCACTCAACATTCTATTGCCCGATTTGTTTCATATGAGAGGTTATCTCCTCCCTATCGTGCATTTGTAACTGCTATTGACAACATAAATGTTCCAAATTCTATTCAAGAAGTTCTCTCACACCCGGAATGGAGAAAAGCTGTGAATAAAGAAGTTGCTGCACTAGAAAAGAGTGGAACGTGGATTGTGTCTGATTTGCCCAAGGATACGAGACCAGTAGGATGCAGGTGGTTATTTACAATCAAATGTAAGGCAGACGGAAGCATAGATCGGTTAAAAGCCCTACTGGTTGCAAAAGGATATACCCAGTCATACGGAATTGACTACCAAGAGACATTTGCCCCAGTAGCCAAACTGAACTCCATTAGAATCCTACTCTCCATTGCAGCAAACCGAGACTGGCCCCTTATGCAACTTGATGTCAAAAATGCATTCCTTAATGGAGATCTTGAAGAGGATGTATACATGGATTTACCGCCTGGTCTTGAAGTGTACTTCCCTAGTGGCAAAGTATGCAAGCTCCAGAAATCTCCGTATGGTCTCAAACAATCTCCTCGTGCTTGGTTTGCAAAATTCACCAATTCAGTAATCAAGTGCGGTTATACTCAAAGCCAGACCGATCATACAATGTTCACAAAAAGATCAAAGAAGAAGATTGTTGTACTTATTGTGTATGTGGATGACATCATTCTTACCGGTGATCATACTGAAGAATTGACAAAGCTGAAGAAGTTTCTAGCCCATGAATTCGAAATCAAGGACCTCGGAGACTTGAAGTTCTTCTTGGGAATGGAAGTTGCAAGATCCAAAATGGGGATAGCCGTAACTCAAAGGAAGTACACATTGGACCTATTGAAAGAAACCGACATGCTTGGATGCAAACCAATAGATACTCCAATAGACCCGTATAAAAAGATTGGAATGGAGAATGATAGTTTACCTGTCGACAAAGGACGATATCAGAGGCTTGTTGGAAGACTTATTTACTTATCTCACACCAGACCAGACATAAGTACGATATCAGCGGCTTGTTGGAAGACTTATTTACTTATCTCACACCAGACCAGACATAAGTTTTTCAGTAAGTATAATAAGTCAATTCATGAACTGTCCTACTGAGGAACATATGGGAGCTGTCAACCGTATCTTAAGATACTTAAAGATGACACCTGGGAAAGAATTATTATTCAAAAGAAATGATAGTCAAAAGGTATAAGTCTTTACTGATGCTGACTGGGCAGGAGATATATTCACCCGATGATCAACCTCTGGGTATTGCTCGTATGTATGCGGCAATCTAGTGACATGGAGAAGTAAGAAGCAATCGGTGGTATCTCGAAGTAGCGCAGAAGCAGAATACAGAGCACTAGCACTTGGTATCTGTAAAGGAATGTGGATCAAAAGATTTCTCAAGGAGCTTTTATGGGGGAAAATTCTATCAAGATGTT